TGTCTTTCCCAACAAAGAAAAGTCGCTTGCTTACACATTGGTCCTTGCTCATTCAGAAGGAAAGAGAAACCCATCTAATTGCTCGGTTTTGGCAAGAGTGAAAAAAGCACCCTTTGAGAGTCTGCTGGAGGTGTACAATTGGAAGAACATTTACAGTTTGTTTGGGCACACAGGAAATGCATGAGGCGTGGCGTGCAGACAGCCCCTGAGGGGCTTCAGAGATGGAGTCTGTACAGGACGCTTTTATAGCCTATCAGTTACACAGTTTGGAGGAGAGATGGGGATCTTTTAGGCAGTTTGCTAGAGGGCAAAATGAGAGTTGAACACAATACACAGAGAAAAAGAGCCTTCAGGAAAGGAAGCATGTCTAAGGTGTGCCCCAAAAGAAGCTATTTCAGGGCAGGGATATTAGCATTTCTGAGGCATGGGAAGCAAGACTTGTAACATTGATTCCTCATCAGATCAGGGATCCCACCTTAAGTCTAAAGCTGTTCTTACAGTGTCAGGCTTTTAGCAGCCATATTATGGCTCATTTTGTCCCAACGGTATGTAAATTCCAACAATCACAGTTGCAGTAATTAACAAACACTCATCTGCTTGCTTTGATATTGATTTACATCAAGCACAGATTCAATCTTGTGTCAAAAACAAATTGTGAAATAGGACAGACACAGACTACATATCAGAGTATCACAGATAGGTGTGATTTACTTCATCCTAAGTCTTCAATGTATACTAGTTGCTTTCTCAACGCAAGAGTGCGATTTAGTTCCCTTAGGCCTGGTTTAAGCAGCCCTTGTGCAAGCACACGGTACACAGCATCTGTTCCAATTTCAGATGAAAGGGCGACTTGAGCAAGATGGTCTCCCTGAGTCCCCCTCCCCAGTGCACCCACTTCCTCCTCTCCTTTAGGGAAGGCTAGATCAGTCTATTTCTGGCCTATGTGATTTGTGCATGCATTAATTCTCAAATGTGCCCCATTTTGACATTAATCTGTTATTTATTTTAACCCAATTTAAAATTCATATTAAAATATACCTTTTTGAATCTATGCATTGCCACAAAGTATGTATTTTTAAAAAGCACTGTCTCTGCAAATATGTGTTTCTAAATGTGTTTTGCCCTAAAACAAACATTTGAAAACATATTTTTGACCTGACAAATTTTTGTCCTGCAAAATCTGCAGTAGCACTATGTTCTGTTCTGCATGCTTGTTTGGGAGTTGCTGCTTAGATCAGCTCATATCAGAATTTGCACATATGCAATTCTTCAAACTTTGCTGCCCATCACTACCACTGTTGCTGCCTCTGGGTGGGGCTGAGACATGGGTTCAACATAGGCCAAGTACTGGGAATGGGCACCAGGAGCCATGGAACAAAGATAAAGCGTAAGTCAGAATCAAAGGACAAAACAGGTGGCAGCATCAAGAAATAAGCCAGAAGTCAGGTATAAAGGACACTGGAATTAGGCTCCAGTTTCACTGGAACTGAAAGGCTTCCTATCATCCTTCCCATCCAGAGGATCCAGCGGCCACCCTGGGCTGGTGGGGACAGTCTAGGACCTGAAAGTTTTGATCTGCTTAGGTGGCACATAGGACAATGAGTCACACCACACCAGGTAGCAGTACAAAAAACTGAAGTCTCCCTGTCTGAGACCTGAATGTGGATAAGCATGAGCCCTCCTGTACAGAGGACCATCCTTGGTTTGAAGTGCCATCCAGGTCAGGTCCAGTGTAATGATAAAGATACCCAGGAAGGGAGGCTGGTGGTCCGTCTGTTGAATGGGCCCACCAGGGCAGCAGTCTGAGTAGGCAGGCAAGTCACCAACTCGCCCCACTGTGGTGAGCTATTGCATTTCATTTGCATTGCGGTAGTTATTTCTAAATGTGCTTCTCCACCCATACATAAGGACATGCCAATCAAATGTAAACTGGGGTTCTCTTTTGTCCTCCTCTTTCTGGGAGATGCCTTACCAAAGATTGACAGTTCCCAACACCTCTCCCTCTGGTCCCCCTTGCTCTTGAGGGAGAGCAAAAAGGTTGCCTTTTCCTCACTCTGCTCACTGCCTGCTTGTGAGTTAACTTTTGTGACGAGGAGAGCAACAGGAAAGAGGAAGAGGAGCAGGACCAGACTTCTCCAAGAATCGGCAAAGGCCCCAACCTAGCCTAGGCTTGGGGGGTGCCTGAAGCCCACCCTGGCATCAACCTTGCAGCATTGGCCTCATAGAGTAGCCGAAATCATGGGCAGAAGGGACGCTGCTGTTTCCACCCGTGCCTCTACATGGGGCAGGGGGAGGAACCTGTGGCCTTCCAAGTATTGTTGTGGAAGTATGAATCCAGCAATGTCGGCCCGGGCCGGGTGGGCTTCTGTTTCTGTTGGATTAAAAGAAAGATGATCTCTCAGTTAAAACATGAAAGTGAGAGTTTAGGAAGTTTTCTCCAGTTTTTTTTTTTGGCTTGGAACATACCTCAATCAAAGAAACATTTAGTGATAAGGCAGGGAAATTAATATTGGTCTGTGGAGCAAGGAGTTTTCTGTTAGTAAAACCACAGCTCTCCCCAAACAAAGATAGCACAAAGAACATGTTTCTATTTATGTCAGATAACATGAATAGTGTTTAACCAAGAACAAATAGTTACCTTTGTTCTAATGCAGGCAAAGGTTTAGTAATCTAATGGGAGCTTATCAGATCTTCTTCTTCTCAGTACATCCCAGGAAATGATACCTAATTCAGAGAAGCTTCTAAAGCTTTTTACCTTATGCACCATGTGCTCCTTCAAGTTCATCTAACTAGCAGTTAGATGTTAGCAGTATAACCCCTGTAGTTCTCGAGCTTTCTCTTTATCTCTCATAGTTCTCCACCCCTGAAATAGGGGTGTGCATGGGGTTCCCGCCTTATTTTGAGCAGTTGTGACCCTGCAAACCACAAGTGTCCTGCCACCAGTAAAGAGCTCAATCCATGTGGGTGGCAGGTTCCCACCAGCTGGTGATCCTGCCTGCAGCCCTGCTTCTGCAGATTGTCACAGAGGGCCACGTGGATGTATAAACCAGGCCCAAAGGTCTGGAATCTGGATGCATGACAAAGCCCTCTTGAATGCTGAAAGGGGTGGAGGTGAGGCCCGGCTTTCTCACAATACAGCAGGGGTCCTCAAACTTTTTCACCAGGGGGCCAGTTGAAAGGTGCCGGTGCTGGGCGCGGGCCGGAAAGGTGGTGCCGGTGGGGCGCATGGGCCGGCGAGGGGGCGGAGGCAGTGCATGTGGGCATGGCACTGGGGCGGGGCGGGAGGCGAGGCGAGGCGAGGCATGGGCGGGCGCACACGGCTAGGGGTGGTGGGAGTGGGCACGTGCTGCAAGGCGGGCGCACGAGGCAGCGGCTTGCGCTCTTGGAAATGGTTTTCTCCGAGCGAGTCCAAAATGATCTCCTCGCGAGCAAGCCGGCAAGCAAGGGCTGCATTTTATGATGTCCATTTTGGCCTGCTGGATGGAAGGGAAGTGAAGGGAAGGGAAGGGGAAGAAATGTGTTCATGACAGCTAGAGTGTTGACTATTACTTGAAAAAACATTCTATCCTTGCTTCTACAGCCACTTGGTTTGTCGTATGCAAAACTTCCCCCGGCTAAAAGGTAAAGTAATAGAGAAAGTTTTGCCTGCTTCGTGGCTACATGTCAGGGTGCAACATGGTCACCTTGTGTCAGCAGTCATTAGCCTTTTTGACCACAACTACAGATTTTTTCCTCTTGCACTCTTTCATCATGGCAATTGCCAACATATTCACATCACATATAGTGCTTGCATGTTGATAATTCAGTGTGGTGTATATGTTTTATCTGCATCTCCATTTGTATTTATCTACATATCAGTTGCATGTCCAAGACCATCTCACTGTCCGAGGCTGTACTTCCTGTACAAGCCACAGGAGGGGAGAGAGACAGAGACAGAGAGAGATTGCAGTGACATTTTGTGGTAAAACACTCAGGAGTGATCAGTGACACGTAACCTCTGCCTCTCACATTGCATGCATCTGGTTATACAAGAAGAGGGCTGTTCAGAGGGGCCAGTCCTATAGGCAGAGGGAAGCAGCTTGGGAAGGGGTGGAGGGACAGTGGGGTATTGCAGGGCAATGTGGTGTGGCCATGTGGCTTGCCTGACACTTCTCTGACCTTGCTGCTGCTCCTGAGGGCACTGGGAGACGCTGTCCCACCACCAGAGTGAAGGAAATATTCAGCTGCCAGTCCAATAAGCTTCCATAGGCAGCAAAAATGTCTCTGCTGAAGACATTCTTATTCCAAGAAGTCTTTTCTTGCTTACCAGCCTTGATTTTAATGTTATTTTGTCTTTAGCTGCTGTTTATGTATTGTTCTTATTATTTTATTCATTTGGAACTCATATAGTTCCCCACTGAATCTTTGGATGTGGAGCAGTATGGAAATACTGTAAATAAAGCAATAATTTTTTCCAGTGATTGTGTCTAACTGATGTAAGCATCAAACAGATCTTTTGCTTCAGAAAGGTTTTAAAGAGGGGGAAAGGGCAACAGAAGGACATGCATTCATTTTTAAAGCAAGCTCATCCTCATCTAGGGTCATGACAGCAATCTTGGAAGAGCAGCCACTGCAGGGTCTTCTGCAGCCAATCAGAGCAGAACTGGGTGAAGATCCAAGGGGAAGGTCCATAGCATGACTACAAGTTTGGAGGCCAAACTCCCAGTATCCTGTGGCTCCTCAGACAATATCTAGGGACCATAGGACTGTACCCTAACATGCATTTGGACAAGGGGATGTCCACTGCCTCTACCTAAAATTCAGCCAGAAAAGTTTAGGGCTTGAGAATGCTGAGGAGGTTCCAACTCTCCATCAGAGCTGTTCTGCCCGGGATGAGTTTACCTTGGCAACAGTGGTTAAGGACACAATTCCATGTCACATAGCAACACTTGGAGGATTGTTCTTCAATGCCACTAGGACTTTGCTAAGCACGTTGGAACTCCAAGTGGCTGAGACCCAGCATGACCTCAGCAATTCTCAACCAAGAGGGTGATGCAGGTCCTGATAGAATCTACTCCTACAACAGCCGCCCCCGGGCTGTGCCTGCCAAAAGGCGGTATCGAGAACGTGTGCAGTGAGTAACAGTACCTCCCTGTGGCAACCCTGACCCCAGTGCTCAGTCCCAGAACAAGCCTGACTTGGCTCCCCCAGGTCCCCACCTTTTCCTTCTCCCTGTCATTTTGGCTTGTTCCTGCTTCTCACATATGTCCCTGGCCGTCGCATAAACATGAAGTGTATCCCACTTTTGGGGTGTCAAAAACTGAGCAGCTTCACAGTTCTTCATAAAGTTATGCTAGAGTTCAAAGGAGAGATGACGAGGTACATTACGCTACACACATTTTTCACACACAGTTATTATTTCCACCGTTCTTACTTTGTCCCTGTATGAAGAGGGTTAGGAGATATCCTGTTCCACAGGGGGAATTCTCCAGCAGCACCCTGTAGCATTGGAATAACTTGGGGTGCAATCCAATGCATGATTAGACAGGAAAAAGTCTGGGTTCTCAACTGCTGGGAATTGAAGGTTGACTAAGGAATGCTGGTGGAATCCTGGTAGAAAGGACATTTCTTTTCAGTCTAAGCATGTATAGGATGGAGCCCTTCATGGCTCACAATGGGTATCAAATAACATGTGATCAATGCAGCACATTTGCACTCCTAAGCTCCTAAAGGCATGGGATAAAGTACCAAAAGTGCACCCTGCTGAGAACTAAAGCAGGGGGTGAGACTGAGGATCTTGCAGTGAAAGGGGGTTAGATCCCCCCAGAAAACCCTTGTGCCTTTTTCTTTTATTGGCAGCTTGCCATGTGACAGCTGTGAAGAATAACCAAACCAGGGAGATTTTTTTTTAAGCCTCTTCTATGTCCCATGGCAACAGGGATCTCCCCTTGACATTAACCCAGCTGCAGATTAATCCCTGCCCCCACACAGCTGTGAGACTGCATGGTTGTGCAACTGCAGTTAAAAATATAATCATTAATGTGAACAAATTCATTTTTGCACAATTAAAAAAATATGTTTGGCAACCATGGGCGATGCTTCCAATGTGCTACAGTGTCACTTTGAAGGGACCGCTCACAGCTGTCAAAATGAGGATTGCAAAAGCCAGCTTGAAAGCTGGTTTTCCTAATCTCCAAACAACGGAAGGAAAAGAGAAAACAGAGCTGTGAGGCCAAAATGGCTCAGGGGATCGTGGAGCCAGGACCAGCTGCCTCGAGTGCTGCTTGGGCACTTTAAAGGTGGCCGACACTGGCACTCATCTGGGATCCCACATAGCAAGAACAGTAAGGGTGTTTGTTTGTTGGGCTGATCAGGTCGTGGGGCTTGATAGCTGTTTCCTCCTCCCCATGGTGGGGTCAGTTGTCTCGGTTTGGAGAACATGACAACACATTCATTCATTCATTCATTCATTCATTCATTCATTCATTCATTCATTGGATCTGTAGTCTGCCCTATTAGCCACATGGCTCCCTGGGTGGGTTACAAACATTAAAATCATATAAAACTATAAAAACACAATATAAACACTGATCAAATAGCAAAAAGGCACCCCATATCATATTTTTAACCTAACAAGCCTACGATTACATAAAAGGCATAACCACACTCTGTATTAAAATATACCTCTGTTAAAACCAAATGAACAATGACTTCCATTATATATCATGGGTAGAACAATCCATTGGGTTGTTGGGTTGGCTTGTTGCCCAAGCACAAGTGAGCCTGAGGAAATCAATCAGGATTAGCAAACTACAAAACTCCACCATGGGTGAACAAACCCTGCAACCCATGGGATGCTGGAGTGGTTTGTTACCCACCCTGGAGAAATCAGTCTCGATTTGCACAACATGACAATCCATCTGGGATGTGTGAATCCAGTCTCAGTCTTTGGCATCTCTAGCTTCAAAAAAGGACCAGGTAGGTGGGAAGGGCCTCCTGAGACCCTGAACAGATGCAGCCGAAGGAGCCAGGAGCAGGCTAGATGGAAAGCAAGTCGATCCAAGCAGTTTCCTCTGTTCTATATACTGTATGTCCCAGTGCATGAGTGCAGTTTCTCTGTGATGTCAGTCAGCCGCTGCATGTGGCTTTTCCTTAGATCGCTCCAATATTCATTTATTTATTCAGCTTAGAAGTCATCCTATAGCCACTGCCCTCAGGACAGCATATATGATCAAAGCAGAAACAATGCAACTCCATTAACACTATCACGGGAACTTTGCCCCTTTTCACATTATGTTTTACAGAGACGAAAGCCCAACTCGCTATGGGAACCTCATGTATGACCGGAGAGTGGTTCGAGGCAACACGTATGCTGCTGACACATTGCCTTGGGTGGGTTTTTACGTGAATCTTTCTATCTTTCATGAACATGAGAAGGCACTCAAAAGGTGACTGAGAATACTGCAGGCACTGGTTGACACACCCGCTCTTCTAAAGTGATACCTCACAGGCACAAACGGGCGGTTGCAAACACAGCTTTTGTCTACATGGCCCTCTGGCAGCAAGCATTTAGCACGGAGGATGATTTAAAATGCACGAATGCCTCCGGAGGAATGATGTATGATCAGATTAAGGGAAGATGGATTGCAAACGGTTGAGCAAAGCCAACCTTGGGAAAGGTACAGTTAAAATGTAAAGGCCAGCTATTTTAGAATAAGCTGATTGGTGGTGACAAAAGTATGCTGGGCTTCCAGCATCATTTTCTCTCTTATTCATCACTTAGCAACTTCATGGTTTTTAACAAAAGATCTTTGCATGCAAAGGCAAGTTTAGTCAAGGAAGTTCACAGAAGGAAAGCTTTTTGTTCCTTCCTCTGCTGTGCAGCCACCCAGAGCCCTCACCCCACAAAAGCCTTCCCAGAGGTCAGGGGTCCTCCTAAGCAATATGAAATGGGCTGAGGCTTCTGGGGAAGGGAAAATTGCACAGGCTCAGGCAGACCTTTGCCTGATTTTGTGTGTTCCCCCTGCAGCTTTGCTGCCCTGTCACACATTGTTGCTGAGGGGGCCCCAATCCTCTGGAGCAGCTTTTGGCAGAGAGATGCACTGCTGGGTTGGAGGAAATCCAGGGCAGTTGCTCATGGCTGCCCTGCCTGCTTCTGCTTCTGCGTCTCCATTTTGGTTGGGTGGGTAGAAGAGCAGTGTGGCTTGATTCTCTCTTCATGTCGAGAATTCCCTCCTTTACTCTGTTTTTGCCTGGGGGTGGCTCATCTTCCTAGAGGATTTGCACATTAAAGAAAGTTCCTTGGCAATCTATTGGTAGGGGAAGTAGCCCTAGACCACACCATTTTAAAGGGGAGCTAAGATGTTAAACAAAAACTTTAAATGAAAGTTCTTTTCCTTCATAAGTCTGAGTAGCTGCAGATTAAACCACTCAGATGGTGCCTTTCAGAAGACATGCCCAACGAAGGCACAGAATCAGGGAAAGGGCAGTGTTTATGCCACATTTCACTCAGAATGGCCTGTGGTGGGGCTGCAGTCTGGACCAGCAGGCTGCAGCTACACCTTTTCCAAGAAGTCAGCAAGGAGGAAAAGCACAGGAGTTGTTTAGGCAGACCTGGTGGACAGTGGAGGCCCCAACCGACAGTCCATGGAGCAGCCCTGCTGCTACCATGGAAAGCAGGCAATTGCAGATGGGAGGAACAGATGGGGAGCTTTTCTCCTGTGAACTTCCCCCAGTTAAATTATCCTGGCATTCCAGACAATGCCCTCACCCGTACATGGTATGCATGGTAAAATCCCTGCCAAAATCTAAGAACAAAGAATTGGTTTCTTTGGAATTGTTTCCCAGATTTTGCACAACAGCCAAATCAGCTGACAATTCTGGTTGTCCTAATGAGCCTTCTTGAATAATGCACATGCTTGCCTGTGCATCCACAACTTTTTCACATGTCTCATGTTTAAAATATCTTTGGTGTAAACCAAGGAAAAAAGTAGGTGAAAGGGCCCTTTGACCAATATATATGGTTGACACTTTAAGAGGCTAGTAAGCCACTACCCAGAGGCAGCAAATCTTAAAAAAACAACAAAACAAAACCAATAATAGGTTTGATACTATTAAGTAGATCCACTGTTTTTAATCTGTGTCCTGGTTTTACTGCAGTTCACTGCTGGTTTGCAGATATAAGCTACAGATCCAAAAATAATTATTACTTTGATCTTATCTCTGTGCATATTTACTTGAGATTATTGTACTGAATTCAGTGATATTTAATAGGTATCAGATCAGCCGGTATATCCTATTGGTTTGAGTAGGATTTATGAGGGTTTGGTTTTATCTGGGTTACCATCCATGGTTTATGACTTGAAAAATAAAAGGTACATCTACTGAACAAAAAACAAGACACAGTTGTGATTGCCTGCATCACAATCTGAGTGAAGCAGAACTACTCAGTCCCACTGCCTTGCTTAGGAGGATGTCAGCAGGAGCTGTTGCCTGGCAACAGCCAACCAGGGAAGAGGGACTTCCATCAGCCCCACTACCTTCTTTCAGAGTTCCTCAGTGGACTTACTGCCCAGTATGGGTTGGCCAAAGGGTGACAGAAGAGAAGAGGATGAGGGCTAAAATGCTGCCTGAGCACCATATGGACACTAGGGGTGATGAAGGAATTCATTCTATTTGCATTTTAATGTGCATTCTATAGATCAGAGGTGTTGAACCCCAACCCTGGGAGCCAAATCTGCCTCAGGGACTGTAGTCCGGCATTCCAGGATTCTCCATATGAGCACACCCATGTGTTAGGAATCCAGTTTGGATGTGGGAATCTCAGCTCAGCTGCCCACTTCCTCTCTGCCCTGAGCCTGACTCATGCCAAGGATTCTCATGGGCATCTGACAGGAAGCAAGTCCCACTGTTGCCTGGGCATAACTAGCAGTTAGGGGTTCACACCCCTCCTACAACCAAAACTCAGTCCATTTCTAAATTTGCACTTTTCTGAATTAAAAGGTATATATTAATAAACATGATACTAAGATGCATGTTATTTGGGGAAACAGCTTGCATATTAGACAAAGCTACATACGAAAAGTAATATGCATTTTCATGCATGCTTTTTTAAAAATCTCAAACTAATCCAGAAGCAGGACAAATTAATTTTTAAGATTAGAATCGTGGCACAGTGATAGATATCAAAATTGTCAGATTCATCTAACCCTAATGGTCACCATGTTATTTCTGTCTTTGATATTATTCTATACTTTATTTATTTCTTCCATTCCTATCCCATGTTTCTTCCATTGTGAACTCAAGATAGCTGCATGCTATTCAAGGACCTGCCTGGGACCTTCAGCAGAGTACATACCTTCAGACCATATCCTGGAAGTGTTAATGAACTGTGCAAACTTTTTGTAGGCTGCACTAATGTAAAGCACAAGTACTGGAAACAAATACTTTTTCACATCTCTAGTGCCCCAATTAGAATACACTTTAAAATAGCACAGGACTTCCCCTTCCCTCTTTCCAGAGTCCTGAACCTGATCCTGTTGAGATTCAGAAGCAACGAGAAGCCCACAGGAAAATGCTTGCCAGAAAGCGAGCAAAGGAAGAGCAGGAGCTGCATGCCCCGGAAATTGAGAGCAAAACGCGGGTCGAGGTGCAGACAGGTAGAAAGGCCTGTGATTGTCCAATGCCTCATTATTAGGACACTTCTAGAATTGGGAGGTGGGATGATATACAGTGACGTTGAAAGGAATGAATCAAAGTGACGGAATTTGGACTGTCAAGGAAAGCATGGGGGCCGAGGGACGGGAAGTTTTTAACTGTTTCTCTTTCAGTTTTAACATTAACACCATATTCTAGGTAGGTTGTCTAACTGAGTTGCTAGCTGTGTCTCTAAAGTAATATTTAGTTTGATCTGGAGGCAACTACCTCACTCCGCCTAAAGGTAGGACCAGCCCTATTGTCTGGTAATGTTACCAACAACTTTCAGCCAATTTGTCTTTTTTTCACATTTCAGGCTGCAATTGACTGTAATTTCATCTGTTTCAGCCTCAAGTTGTCCTTCTCTAAATTCAGCAAGACTTGCTATGCAATAGCCGAGTTATTCATCTTTTTCCTTGTGATGGTTAGAAGTCAAAGCAAGCAAAATATTTGTTTCTGACATGCAGCTAGTGAAGAAATGACGTGCCCTGCCTTAATTAAATCTGGTTCTATCTCTAATAATGTGATTAGGGACAACTTTTTCCAACTTTTTCTCTTCCAACTGAATTAGATCATAATAATTACCTTTTATGCATTGTTGCATAGCTTAATGCCATATGTGCTCTCCTGGAATGAACTCAGTTGCGCCCACTATGTTCAGTTGTGCTTATTGCAAGGAAGTGTGCATAAGATTGCAGCCTTCGGATGCAATCCCTTCACCTCTGGGGGGGGGAGTATAGGATTATTTGGAGCCTCAGCTCCAAGGCCCAGCTCCACCAAGCCCTCCTCATAGCCCACACGGGAAGAACTACCCCAGCTGCATCTCCGAGGACACAACTGGCCTTGGAGAAGAGGAAAAGGGGCACGCTGGGGTTGCCAGGGCTGGCAGCTGTTGACATCTCCTATCGGTGCCACAGTCTCCTCCCTCCCCTTTCCTGGCTCTTCTAGAGGTCCGTCTACATGGCATGCATGGCCTGAGATGCAGTGGCAACAAGCACCACTGCCGTGCCTCGCTCCACACATCAGGTGGACTCCGCTTCCAAGTTCAGAGGCTTACACACATCTGCAACAGCGGGCACTGGATACTGCCCTTCCTGGGATCAAATCCCTTCACATCCTTGATCTTGTTGAAAACCTGCAACCAGCCTTGTGAGGAAGGTTAACCTTATTATTCCCAAGCCACTGAAGGGCTCTCTCAGCCCAGATTACTCATGCCATTGCTTCAGCTCCCTTCTGGATGGTGTAGCTTGGCCACAGTGGCACAGGTGCTAGTAACCTCAAGACAGGATTGCAGGAATGTGCTGTATGTGAAGACGGGTCCAGAAGCTGGACTTAGCACAGAATGGCTGCTGCTAGGAGCAGCCCCTTTTCAGCATGCCACTCCTTCGCTGAGCAAACTGCACTGCCTGCCTATTGGCTACCTGGCCAGGTTTAAAGCTTTGGTACCCCTGTGTAAAGCCCTAAACAACTTGGGACCAGGATTCCTAAGCAAGTACACCTGTTGCTCAAACTGTCCCATCACTGTGGCCATCAGAAGGCAAGTTCCTGATGGTTCAGACCTATGCCGCTGTCGAACTGCATCCAGAGGAGGGCCTTCCACATAATGGCTCTATGCCTTCAACTCCCTGCCCATCAAAGCCGGGCATGTAACACCGTTATATGGCCTCCTGAAGCCTTTCTGATCTAGCCAGCCACACATTTATTGGGCTTATTTTTAACATGTTGTTTTATTCTGTTATTATTATACCTTTGCTTGCTTATTACTTTGAAATCTTCATACTGCAATATGAAATCTTAAATTAATAAAATAAAAATTATATTAGACATGAGCTGGCAGAACAGTGCTTAATGAAAAACAGTGTGTTGCATGAGGGAGAGATGGGTTTTGTTCTCCTTTCCCAAATGCTCCTTTTTTTGTAAAACAAACAAACAAATGAATAAACCCTTCCTCCCATGTTTTATATAGGAATGAGACAGACACACAGGAGGCAATCTCATCAAACTGTATTTGTCTACATTGTTTATTTATTATTGTTGATGATGGTGGTGTTATACAGCGAATTGGCAGGCTTCATACAGCAAGTGTTTCAGAAAGTATGGGTGTTTCCAGTTGAAGTTTGCATGGTGCTTGTTCACAGAACAGTGGCGGGGTGGTGAGGGGAGAGACACTGGAATCTTCCTCTTATAATCCTCCTGAGCTTCCCCACCATTTCTGCTTTTTTTCTTACCACAAAAAGAAGTAAATGTGGAATAGCTGCTCTGTGCTTTCAAGGGCTAGGAGCGGTCCACCTGGAAGCATCCTTAATGAGATCCATGACATTTTGCTGCTTAAGGCAACGGATGAGATGGCGCCCCCTTCCCATTCCAGCATGTGAATTTGACCAACACTAGTGGCCAGACTGTGTCCTGTGTTGTAGGCTAGCATGAGGGGTACATGGCAGGCCACGTAGCACATGCAGGTCTGTCCTCCCTCACCCTCCTGCCACTTCCCTCTGGGCAGCATCTACTGCCTAAGGCATCTCCCTCATTCTGTCTCCTGGCAGGACTGGCCTTGTAGTTGATATGGAGAGAGAGGATTTAAATCCCACGGTTCCTGCTTCACTGTATACACTCTATATATTGTGCTTTCTTCCACGAATGAAAGGTGGAATACATCAGTAAATGAGGAAGCCATCCATATATGCCTGGCCACCCCTTGAGATCGGCGGGAGAGGCCCTTCTCCGGGAACCCTCCGTGAAAGAAATTAGGAGGCTGGGTACTCGGAGGAGGGCTTTCTCTGCGGTGGCGCCCAATCTATGGAATGCGCTCCCCAGAGAGGTCCGCCTGGCGCCGTCATTATTTGTTTTTCGGCGCCAGGTGAAGACCTTTTTATTTAAGTGGCATTTTAACTGTCAATATTATTGGATTTTATCTGGCCAGGGCAGCTTATTTTATATTGGTATTTTTGTATTTTAATTTAATGTTTATATATTTTTAATTTAATATTAGAATTATTTTTTTTAACTTATTGTTGTAAGCCACCCCGAGGCTTCGGCGAATGGGGCGGCATAAAAATGTTTAAATAAATAAATAAATAAATAAATAAATAAATATCATTTCAGTAAATGTTCTGTGGAACATTAGTTGAGTAATAGAGGATGGATAAAAGCCCCCTAACAATAGCCCTCGTTGTGTCATTGTTTCAGAATTGTACCTGGAAGAGATTGCAGATCGCATTATTGAAACTGATATGGAGTGTCAAACTGATACTTTCGTGGAAAGACCAGACACTCCGCTCTTTGTTCCACAGAAGACCGGAGCTGATGCATCTACACAAATTGAAGAAGGAGAGGTATTAAGGATTTGGCTATTAAGCTGCGCAAGGTCAAGAGAATTACCTACATAATGCAAGCCCTTCTTCGCATACTTTTTGCTTTCCTTTATGCTGCCAGATAACAAAACATTGGAAATGTTTTGCACTTGCTGCGGAACAAAATTCAGCAGCATATGGGACAGTTTGGATATGAGTCTGGTACTCTGTTGTTAACAAGATGCTTCCCAAGTATGTAGGATTCCATTGGCTCTTTGTGTCCAGTAAACATACCGAAAGATCCCACCACTCTGGCCAAATTAATAGTTGAGTAATTATATTGAATGCCAAGTGAAAATGTCATGGAACTACAGCAAGTAGAGCATGGGTAATGCTAGAATTTTCCTCTTTTCTCTGAGTATAGGGATGTTGGAGAAATCCACAAAAGATTCAAATGAATTTTGATTCCACACTTGTCCAGCTTTTTCTGAGGAACACTGGTTTTCCAGTCTATGGATTGTTTTTCCATCGGGTGCGGGGGTTGCACGAATGCATATTAATGCTAATGCAAATTCTCACAATGAGTTACGGGTTTAAAAATTCCCATTCAGTCAATGAGTAGATGGCAGCATGAAAGATGCCAGACCATCTGCAACATGGAGACAGAATAGATTTTCTTAAATCTGTACATCCCCACACAGGAGGGAATGGCACTAGGCATCTCCTAGATGCAGCTGCACTATAAAATCCCAGCTAAGCCTGCCTCTGTCACATTCATTTATTTACTTAAAACCTTTTTAGAACACCCCTTATCATAGTCTCGGGACAGTTTAACAATAAGACAAAAGAAAATAAAAGACAGCATCCTAATCAAATTCTGAACCAATCAACAATAATTGATTGGTTAAAAACATATTAAAAACAGTCAAAGCTTAAAACATTGGGAAAATAAAAAGGCTTTAGCCTGGTGCCAAAAAGAATAAAGTGATGGCACCATGCGAACCTCTCTGGGGAACAATTCCACAATTAAGGTGCCACTACAGAGAAGGCCCTTCTCCAGGTAGTCACCTTCCTAATCTCCTTCAAGGAGGTCTCCCAAGTAGGGCCTCTGCCCCACATCTTAGGGGGCAGGTAGGCACATATTTTGTTATATGTGGATTCTGAACATGTCTAAACAATCTGACTGTGCTCAGTGGTAATTGCACAAGTGCATCAAGGGTGTTTTAAGTTGTTGCTATCTGAGGGCAAATGCTGCTTACAGGGGGACGGGGGATTCAGAAAGGTGCATTGTATGGTTCGTTTTGATGAACAAGCTTGCCACTCCTGACCTACTTTACCAAAACTTCTTCTGGATTTTGCTATGGCTAGACAGTGGGCAGGTTCAGATAAAAAGCAGAACATTCTAGAAAAAACTCTAACTCTATCCAATGTTCCCATCCCTGAGGCTAGAGAGGGGAAACGGCAACATTGCTTGGCTAGAGACTCACACACAGCAGAGTTGTACTAGTGTTGAAGGAAGGAGGTGATATTCTTGAATTCCTTCTTCCTGCGGAAGACCCCCAAAAACTGCTCTGGGAGACTGAGGGACCATCCAGAAGAATGTGAGAGGTGACACTGGAAGCTGCAGAGAGGAGGAGGAATTAGCAAGAATTGCTGCCCCAACCCCTTTCTCTAGCAGGAACTTTCCACAGGTTTTGGTTTTCTCTCATAAATACAAATAGCCATTCCATTCATGTAAGAGCACTTGGATCCAACTCAGTATCTCCCCTTTCTAGCTTTGATTGTCAACACTGGTCTACCTTTTAGACAGATGTTGCTCCCTGTTCAGGATAGTATAGTATAGTATAATATGTATTTATTTATATTCCACTTTTTCCTGCAAGGAACCCAAGGCAGCTTACACAGTTCTCCACTTCTTCGTTTTATCTGCACAATGACCCAGTGATTTGGTTAAGCTGAGACTCAGTGACTAGTTTAAAGTCACCCAGTCAGTTTCATGGCTGAGCGGGAACAAAATCCAAGTCTCAGTACAGCACTCTAACTTTTATGTCATAGTGGATTATAATCCTTATCGATATTATTATTAGCATTAGCATTATTATTAGCATTAACTACTAACAAAAGACTCATCTGTAATCTTATCCACTGTTTCAGGAGTAAATGATTTCTCTCCCTCTTCATAAGATATGACATTGAGTTGAGCAGCATTTGCTTTTATCTTCAGATCTTTGAATTTGACATCGAAGTCAAACCCATGCTTGAAGTTTTGGTTGGAAAAACCATTGAACAAGCTTTGGTAGAAGTCATGGAAGAAGAAGAACTGGCCAATCTTAGGGCCCACCAATATGCATATCACGAACTGCGCAATGCAGAGATTGCTGAAATGTATCGCCTTGAAGAACAAGAGAGAAGACACAAAGAGGAAAAGGTAAGATGAGGCAAAGGATGAGGCAAACTGTAAGTAGCCAAATATCAATTGATATAAATAAAATAATATGGATATAAAGTAATCTAAACAATAATATACATCTATTAAGATTACTTGAGAGCCAGTGTAGTGTAGTGGTTAAGAGTGTGAGACCAAGGCTCAGGTGATACGGGTTCTAGTCCCCACTCAACCAATGAGCCAACTGGCTAACTTTGGACCAGTGAAAGACTCTCAGACCAACCTACCTCACAGGGTTGTTGTTGTGGGGATAAGACTGAGAACAGGAGGAAGAGGATGGTGTAAGCCGCTTTGAGTTAATTGGAAAAAACTGGGATAAATATAAATGTCTAACTGCTGGGCTCAACCTTAATTAAACATACTGATTATAGAATAATCACTGGCATTGTTCAGATACAGTAGAAAGCTGTGGTTTTCTGCTACATAGACACCAGTATGGCCCCTGCTCATGCACTCAACCTTATTTTATTTTTATTTATTAATTAAAACATTTTTATGCTGCCCCATTCGCCGAAGCCTCGGGGCGGCTTACAACAATAAGTTAAAATAATTATAAATCAAAAATATAAACATTAAATTAAAAATACAAAAATACCGTATAAAATAAGCCGCCCTGGCCAGATAAAATCCAATAATAGTAACAGTTGTGCTTCTTGTGTGCTTCAGAGGAAGAGACTGGAAACTTCTGATTCTAAACAAATCACAGCACTCTTGAGATCAGATGTCATGGAGAACTGTGCTTTACTTAAAAGTTTCTAATCTTCCAGCAGAGAAGGAAGATGCAGGATGAAGCCCACTGTGGCCCATTCACATAACAGGAATCCATGTTTTCTGGTGATATCTGACATGGAACACTATTCTCTCTCCCCATCTATGCATTCATACATGCAGTCACTGTTAAAATGCTATATTTTTCTTAATATCACTTTTTTTAATCTACCAAAATGCCTGTTTGGGCAGATTTGTCTAGCAAACTCAACTGCTGAGCATTTACCATTTTAAACCAGTATTTCCCTACAGCATGATGACTGCCACATACATAGGTACATACATACATCTGGGCAACTTGAGGCAAGCAGAGTGCCCGGTTTGTGTACTCTGGTGTTAAAGACAAGTTATGTTGTCTTCGTTATTGAGAATGCAAGAAAACGAGAAGGCAGGGCTGTGGAGTCCTTGCAGGGGACAGGGGTTTAACCCTTCACACACCCACCAAGAACTTTTCTACACAGGCCATTAATCAGCTGTTAATGTATGGCATCTACTTTCGGTTTCACTGCAGAACTGGCATCTGAGCACTGCTCAAGGAGTGATTCCTTCCAACCACATCAGCTCTTAGCACCACAAGAGCATAGCACAGGGGTGGCCAACCTAAGGCTTGGGAGCCACATGTGGCTCCTTGAGTTTATTCTGCAGCTTGCTGCTTGCTGCTGTGGGCGCCCGTGGGCACCCACTTGCCCCTCACCACCCGCCGCCACCCGTGGGCACCTGCTTGCAGCTCTTCAACATCTGACATGTACCCTACGTGGCTCTTTGGCTGAGCAAGTCTGGCCACGCCAGTATAGCGGAATGGTGCAAACTGGCCACCCTTTCATTTTCACAATTGAAAATGCATGCTTCAAGCATGCCTTTGAAATACTTTCCAGGTTCAGTCACACTTTTCTCGCATGAGACAAACTAGCAACCATTTGTCACTAAAGCGGTTACTCCTAAATTCCTGGTTCCTAACCAACCTGGATTTCCACTACCTGAAATCAAAGGCAGGTCATCTAAAACTTTTATCGCAGCTTTATTAACGAATAAAATACGGCAAGCTGATTTGGAGCCATCAGGCCACTGCTTTCCGAGAGGATGTTTGAGGCATGCAGCCTTCATCACGTGCAGGTGGATTTTTGGCTTTGTCCACACGCTGCGCTTGCGACATCTGCAACCAGCTTGCGTTTCACTCCTTGTGCAAATGCAGAGTGGTGCCTTGACAGAATACAGGGGGCAACAGGGAAGGCACAGTAGGGAGGCAAAGCTAGGGGTGGGAGCCCCTCATCGGGTCATCTGCAAGCTACTGTTGCTCATCATAGGTCGCCCGGCAACCACTTAAGGATACTGCTGCCTCCGCCCACCAAAGAGCTCAGCATCTGTTCTGCCATCAGCCAGGACAGGGGTCCTCACCCAAAGTTAGTACCCTAAAATAATTTCTTAATACTTTTATTTAATGACAGAAAAGAAGGCTTAGAGCAGTCTTCCCCAAACCGGTGCCCTCCAAATGATTTGGACTTCAGTTCCCATCAGCCCCAGCCAACAGTCTGGTATGCTAAGAGGTGTGGTTCAGAAAGCTGGAGAGTAGCCAGCAGGGAAAGGTTGCCTTAGGATAATCGATTTAAAGAAGTATTTTTGAATGTGCCCTTCTTTTTCAGGAACGATCATTTCTAGTATAATTTTGCTTTTTCAGAATAAGTTGGTCACACATAGAACTCAAAAGAGTTTAGTTACCCATTGCCCAAATTAATCATGTGATCTAGTTTGATAATTAAATTATTACATTCAAATAAAATATGACTGTTACTGTTACTTTCTCAGGATTCAGTAAGTATTATGGTGCTTAAAATGCATGTTACTGAGGTTGGTGGGGCAGTTCTGTTTGCACTACAAAAGTTAAAAGCCTCTTTATAAATGATTATTTCAAGGAACGCCGTAAGATGCAGCAGACTGAAATCCAAGATAAGCAAACAAGAGTCAGTGAGAAAGTTGCAGCTCGGGCATTTGCTCTGCAGTACCTGTCAAACCTCATTCCTTCTGTCTTTACTAATCTTCAGAAAAAGGGTTTTTTCTACGATCAAATAGAAAGCGGTGTGTACCATTCTTTATTGGACATAAATGTTAAAACTGTATAGTGTGTCATAGCAGGGGAAAAACCCCTAAATCATTTCTGGAACCCAAACAAATCAGGACCACAATAATGTTTGGGCTATTATCAAGGGCTTTGTATTTCAAACTTCTCAACTCAGCATAAGAGAGTATTTGTCATCTTTCCATTTTCCAAATGTTATGGATTTTGTTTTATTTAAAATTGCAAGGAGATTTACAAGATAAGAATCAAATAATGCAACTGATATTACAGGGAACCAAACTAAAGCTTACACATTATAACAGCAGCCTGAAGTTAAACTAGAAGACCATAAAGAGGTGTAAATGCTTTGGTAGTGAATTAAAAGTGCAGATCTTAGCCTGATGCCTAATGACAGTAACAGTGACATCAGGCAAAATTCCCTATGAAGGGAGTTCCAAAGCCAAGATGGCATCACAATAAAAAGTTCTGTCTCCGCTAACAACCTATCTAACCTCTGAAGGCAAGGAAAACAGAGAAGATCCTCAGGAGATGAACTTAACTGGAGGTCCACTCCATGGATGAGAAGAAGTCCTTTGGTCCCCTTGCTTCCAGACCATGCAGCAAACAATCCTATGCTTCCTGGAGAGAGGGCAACAGGCTAGTGGATGCTTCCAGTGAATGCAGAGAGAGAAGCCCATGGAAAGCAGCCTCCTCAGTTCAGCAGTGCTTCTACTCTCAATTCAGAGGGCAGGGGGAGCACATTCCTGGAAATGCTAAGGACATGTCTGAGGATACTCCTGCCCATGTTCCCCCAACGCAACCAAAATAAGGACTGGGAACGCCATTAATTTTCCCTGCACTGATGTCAATGGGAGGGATATATTGAAAAATTTGTGTGTGTGTGTGGGGGGGAAGGTAACTACAATCCCTCCCCCCACACCCATTCTGTCCTGGCTGGCATGAATCAGAAAGGAAGTGGTATCTTTTGCCCAACAGGTCATTTCTTGCCTCTCATTTGCTCTTTTAGAGATTTAATAGCACTATCTCATTGAAATTTGCCCAGAATCAAACTGGGATCCAATGAAGAACTTCCGATACTGTTGCAATTAGAATGTTGTGGCCAGCTCCCATCAGTGTTCTGGCTGCCAACTTTTAAATTATTTGAATTCTGCAAGGGCAAACCCGGATAGAACACATTGTACTAGTTAGGCTCTATGTTATGAAATTATGGATAACTTGGAGAATAAACATTGCAAGATAAACGTTTGTTGAAAGTCTAGCCCAGGTATCAGTTTCATTAGCTTTATAAATGGAAAATAGTTGAGGAAGATCTTTGTTCAGATCTTTTGAATAAAATATATTGCAAACGGGGAGACTCTCAAATGCTATGCTATGAACACTTACAAACCCCATCTAATGCATTGGAGCTTACTTTTGAGTAAGCCTTCATAGGTTTCTACAACTAGGCCCCAATCCTATGCATATTTAGACAGAAGTATAGTCCTACAACTTTTGCTGGAAGTTCTGGGTCTTCTTCTGTCTAAAATGCATAGGTTGTGCCTCTAGTAAAGTTTTATGACGTTAGAAAAACTTGACAAATGCAGAAACATGATGATTATTGATATGGAACATTTTCAAATTTGTTGAAACAGACAACTTAGTAAGAACATTCCTTGGGAATCATTGTTCTTTTTGCTCTCTTAGTTAATGTGAATATAATGCAATACATTACCTGTTGCTTTGATTCTTATTTTGCAACTACAAACATTTTACATAAGTATTTTAAAAGTTTTAAAATTACCCAGTTGAAACCTGATCACTGTAGTCAATGACACTGGGAAAGGGTTTTAACCTAAAGGTGCAATTGACACACATGCTAAAGTGTGCAAAATTGGGGTTTAAACCCATTGGCTGTGATGGGACTAAGACCACAATGTTGTGCCTACTTACTTGGAAGTAAAACCTACTGAAGTATCACCAAGTAATTGCACATAGGATCAAGTTGCTTGTATCAAGCACTAGGGGCCTGGTCCAGCTAAGACACCTCAGTTTCAGAGGATACCCAGAATAAGGCAAAACCCATTGTGTCAAAGCTGATAAACTTTTATTGAATACAATGATGAAATAGGGGTGCAGAATATAAACAAACAAAATAAAGTGTACATTCAGTGACTAAATTGGTCCCTGGAAAAGGCCAGGGGATGTTCCATTAGCTTTCAATCGTGCCTCACTGAGTGACATATACATTCCTCTCACCAAGCAGAGAAGAAAAGATAAAACTTCTTGCCATAGAGTTATAAAGTTCCTATCTCCCACTCTTTCAGAAGCTATCAGTAAACGCAGGTTCTAAGCCCTTTCCTGGGAAATAGGGTCAGAGGTAAGCTGCTTCAGTAAAGCAAACAGTTTTGTTCTTACAGTAAAAGCAGATTTTCTCTAGAGAATGACTGGGATAGCAGTTTCAAGGCAATTATCTCTGGTTCTGTTCCTAACAAGCTGAAAGCCATAAGGCCTTGGCATGGCTCCACAAAATTATCCTAGCTTGGACACTGGAAAAGTTCATTATGCTATCTCTTGAACTTTACTAATCTCTTTGCCATTCTTCTGGTAGAGCCCATACAATACACTGTACATCAGTTTTGCCTGTTTTGCTTAGGCATTCATCTACATTACAAATGTTGTGTGTAAAGTGATGGGCTTGTCAGTGTTAAAACTGAGCACACATTTTATATCATTTATTCCCATTTCTTAAAGATAATGGGAATCATTTATATATCATCACAAATGAAAATATAAATGTTTGCTTTGCTCTCATATTATGTAGATGTTGAAGAAGGATTTCTTCCATACTTGATGAATGAAGCAGAAGAGATCATGCAGAAGAGAATTCATGGAAGAGTAATGGCAGACTGTACGTATGTAAAAATAGTAACAATGGGCTAATTTTGTATTGATAGTGATAATAATGGAATGGGAAGATCATACTGCTGTGATCAAATGTGATCATGGGTGATCATCTTAGAGTGCAGGACACAGAATAATGGACTTAAGTTACAGGAAGCCAGATTCTGGCTAAATATCAGGAAAAAAATCCTCACTGTTAGAACAGTACGACAATGGAACCAATTACCTATGGAGGTTGTGGGCTCTCTCACACTAGAAACATTCAAAAAGAAACTGGACAGCCATCTGAGTGGGATGGTGTCACTTGGTGTCCTGCACTGAGCAGAAGGTTGGACCCAATGGCCTTCATGGCCCCTTCCAACTCTACTATTCTATGATTCCGTGTTGGCACTAGATTAGAGATGCAATCCAGTTAGGATGCCCATAACTCTCTGAACTCAGCATTGCGCCCACCCTGCAATTCAACTAGACAGGAAGTCCCAACCATCTAGTTGAGGTGCTTCAGAGCAGGAAGGAAAGAGATACAGCTGGTATAGTTCTTTTTGCAGTGACTGTGAGAATGCAGGGAGGGCATTCCAAGTTCAAAGTCCCAGGTCCAACAATTGCATGATTTTTCACTAGGTAAGTTGGACTCCAAAAATTCCCGTGGCTACCTAAAAGTTAGCTGCTGATTTAGGCTTCTTTGTAGAAGAAAATACAAATGTCCACTTTTAAATTCTGCCCTTCCTATTAAATCTATTTAATAACACATGCATGTTTTCTCAATTTATTTTACAAAAGACATGCCTTCCCTGAAGCATATTGCAGGTAAAGCCAGTTATATATCAAAATACAATATTATTAATAATAATACCATTGCCTGGTTGACTGTAATTTAACAGAGATTATATAAAGGTTTTATTGAATAAACCATAACTCCAAGTGATTAACTTTCCAGGGATAATTAGTGAGGTGGTTGGAAAGAAGCTGGAAGACTTTGCTGAGTATGAGATGTTTGACCGGTATCACATAGATAAACTACATCAGCATTCCTTCCGAAAGGGATCTTTTGGACCCTCTGATCTGTTCTAGTCTAAATCCCAATGATCATGAGAAGAATCAGGTAATTTTTTTTCATCCTATCAAAAAGATATACACATCCACGGTCATTTATTAGCACACTGGAATAGTTACATTCAGCAGTGCAGCTGCACCCTGAGGTTGAAGTCCGTGGCCCTAAGCATCCCTCCCCAGACTGCCATCTGGGGAGCAACAATAAAGGTGACAGCGACCAACAAGTTCTGAGTCAGCACCTGTGGCCAGTATGGACACCTGGGGGCCCACCAGGCACTGCTGTTCCCTGCAGAGTTAAGAAGCAGCTGACTGACCATATAGATGACTGCAGATGCTTGGTTGGTTGGTTGGTTGGTTTCTACTCTGCCTTTCTGCCAAAAATGGCACTTTATTCCAGGAATAAAATGGAGTTTCCTTGTGCTGCTCAGATGTGAAATACATTTTCTTAAGGAAAAGCACCATTTTCCTGTAGAAAATGATAAAATTGTATCCTTTTCTACAGCAAAATAGATATTTTAATTAGGGTTAACCTCTCCCTTTACAGAGGCAAGACGCATCAGCGTAGTAGTGACTGGAGCACACACGCACGAGGGTGTCATTGCACACGAGTTGGCGGCTGTGTGAGCAGAATGCTGGTCTGGACAGATTTTTGATCTGATCCGGCACTTTTTATGCAACTGTAAAAAGGATATCCCTGCAGAAACTGGGGTTTTGTGTAGTCAAGAATATGAATTTTCCTCTTGTTATTGTTTATCATTCAAAAATTATGGGAAATGCTTGCTTACTGGGAACAGGGGCTGCATTATGTTCTTGCGCATTTGAAAATAATGCTTAGAACAAAGCCTGTGTAATTTATTTAAGATGTGGTTTGTTGCATTAGTAGCATGTGATTAGATTTATTCGGAAATAGCCAAGATTATGATTGATATAAAGTGTGGTTTCCTGGTTGCAGCTTTATACAATCAACAAAATCAACATCCTTCAAACAGAAAAATAGTTTTACATTTTCAATAAAATGTTTCAGGTTGAGAAGACATTCATAGCTTTAACAATTATTCTGTCTAATCTATATGCCTCATGTAACAATCCTAGCCAAGCAAAATGAGCTTTTTGATTGAACTCATGTGCTCTGTAGTCTCTCAGTGTCTGCACACGTGTATTCATGCATATCCCTGTTCACACTCTTGTCAACCTTGCTGTCTAATTATTCTGAATAGGTCTGTTGCTCTGGCTTTGCTTTGAAACAATGGCTGGTGTGAGTCTAGGATTTGACAAAATGTATGTCGCCATTTGTCAGTGGAAAGTCGACGTCGCTTTACTCGAGAGTGGTTGCTGGAGGCCAATTTTCTTGATTCTGAAAACTCTTTGGAATATTTGCTTGTTATGAGAAAGCCACCAGTGTCTAGGAAAGGCAATGAATTGCATCCCTTCATCTAAAGCAGTGGTTTTCAACCTTTTTGCAGTTGGGGACCGGCAAAAATAGGGAAATTATTTTGGGGCTGCTGAGGCAGAAATAAAAAGCATTATATACATAAGATAGTATTAGTTTTTAAATATGTAAGTACAATTACATATTTAAAATATGTAATTAAAATAAGGCTACTGCAAAAATCTGCTGTTGCTTCTTTTCAAAAATACTTGAGCAAAGATTTACAATCGCAAAATACAAAATCAATATAAATGCAAAACTATGCTCATAGCAAGTACAAATTTAAATACAATATTAACAGCAGAGCAATACAAAATCAAACAAAGTTCCTTAATACAATAATATTGATAGTGTTAAATAATGAAATAGAATGAACCCCAACCCCTCACACCCCCCTATACACCGGCACAGACTGGCTGAGAAAACACTCAGCACAACCCGGCCTCAGCATCTCCCTTTCCAGCAGAAAACACAGCAGAAAAAGGAGAAGTTCCCTTTGTGGCCTACCCAGAGGACTCCCCTCCCCAGCCTCCTCAGCTGTGGAACTGGTGGGGAATCGGCAGGGAGAGCACAGGCAGCCTCGTACTGGTCTGCAGCGAGCATGCCCACGACAGGAGCTCTTTCATGGACCAGGAAGAAATGCCGGTGGGTTGGTTCCGGTCCACGGACCAGCGGCCAAAAACCACTGATCTAAAGCAGGGGTTAGGAGCCTATGGCCCTAGGGCCTAATTTCACAAGTCTTCTGCAAGCATCCAGAGCAAGCCTGAGACTGGGCCAGCAATCTCTTTCCCCCAGCTACTGGGTGCAGACAAACAGGCACAGCAAGTGAAGCAGAGTGGGGGATGTTGTATCCCAGCATAAAGGCAAAGGTTTAAAAAAGAAGAAGAGGGTGGCAGAATGAGAGAGAAGGGAGTTGACAGGGAAAAAGAGAATGAAACAGTTTGGGTAGGGGTTTGCTCATATGAAGGTCAGAGCAGAGGAGAAATGTAACCTTTGTCTTGAAGACTGCTGTATCAGAATGAATGTTTGTCCATTCTGTAGAAGCTGGGAAATGCTTGCAGCAGCACATCCTCGAGGCTTGCTGCAATTGATCCTAGTTGTTATGAAAGATAAACGCGATGCAGCTCTCTAGGAACTGAATAGTTCAAATGGTTTTGCTGAGCTAGCAAAGCTCAATGGCAGAATTAAGAATGAATGTGTTACATATTCATACAAATGGAGGACGTTTTAAAATAGCTGGATCATGCCTTCACTATTTGGACAAGTCCTTATAATTACTTCACTGCCATTCTGAATCATGCACCACTAGAGGTCAGTAATTGCCTGAGAAGCAAAAGTGATACACCTCCTGGCGACCATCTTTGGTTTCATTCAAATCCGCTTTAACTTGTTGAATTGTTACCATCACATTCCCGTGCCTGTTTTCTCAAAAGCAAGGCCCACCAAGTCCATTGGAATTTATTACCAGGTACATGTATCTTGCATTACAGCACAACACAGCAAAAATAACCCCCCTGACTTCAGCCCCCCTGACCTTTAGTTCAAGGTAATGACTGCATCCAATGTTAGTCTAGCTTAGGTCCCATTCATTTAATGTGTCTTCCCTAAGAAGGACCAACACTGGCTATATCCCGGTGTTTGCATAGCACTGCAGCCCAACAGTGGCCACGTAGAAGGAAACCACAGTGACTGCAATGGGATTTCCACACTGTTAGTATTAATATATACTCAGCAGAAAACCAGTGTGGTATAATGGTTAGAGTGCTGACTGGCACCTGGAAGATCCAGGTTCTGGTCTCCACTTAGCCATGAAGTTCACTGGGTAACTTTGGGTCAGTCACTCGGTCAGGCTACCCTACTTCAGAGAGTTGTTCTTATGGGAATAAAATAAAGAGAAGGGGAGGCTTATGTAAGCTGCTGGGCTTCTTGCAGGAAAAAATGTCGGGTATATCAATATAATATTTTTTAAAGTTCTCAGGAGCAATTCCTGGCATCTCCAGTTACTAGAAAAGCAAACCTGGCAGAGATCCAAAATCCCAAAGGGTCACAAATAAAGTAGACAGTACAAAATCTAGTGAACCAGAAATTTTGCTCAGAATAAGCTACACTCCCTTCATGCTCAAGTCTTCATGGCCAGGTTCTTATGATGTGTTGGATCAGAATGTGCCAGAACTAATATTAGTCGATGAGTCAGCCTTGTCAACAATCACAGCAGAACTCTGAATCATATTGATTACTTTAGGTGTGGTCATTAATATAGATGTACAAATCAGTGTCCAGTCCATGTCATATATGCACTTCCCTAATACACATGTTACTATGTACAGCTCAGGAGTATACCACAGAATTCAGAGAACTGTGGAATTTGAAAGCTACCAGTGTCCTAATAAATGTATTAGTTCAAGTCATGTGAATTTGCTTTTTGCTTACAAATGCAGACCAATCAAAATTCTCAGGCATCTCTATCTATGAGTGTATCGAGCACTCCTCCTCCTTAAGCTGGGACTCTTGATCAGTTGTAATAGGGCCAAGGGCACATGCAGAATACCCCATCTTATTTTCTATAACCCCTAGTTATTTCTAATATACAAGGGCCACAGCAAAACAGTGTTAAAACATTCCCTCTAAAACACAGGTCTGGATGGTGTAGAAACCTGATGAAACTTGACAGTTATTCTCTACATACCTGAACTAGTACTTTGACCTTTTCCTTTTTGGTACAGTTACATTTCATCTAACAATATAAGATTGATGGAGGCTTAATTCATAGCAAGACTGAGAGCTTCACAGTCCTATATTTTCTGTTTAAAACATTCTGTACTAAATGCACCAGGTAAATATTGCAGAATGCATTCACTCTGCTGCCTCATGTATCTCAGTGCATACCTTTTGCTATGCCAACAGTTCAAGTGGAACATTGCACTTTAAAGAATACCGCTGCATTCCACTGTAGCAAATCGGTTTAATCATTTACAAGTTGGGAAAATAGCCCCACCTTACTGGAAACTGTCACTTGCTCTGCCTGCTTTCAGCAGAACAATCGGTAATTGTTAACAAAGTCCATGTTATAAAGCAAAGGCTGAAAATGAAATACTTGGCTTTGGAACCAGCTTTAATCATATTGAGAGAAGGCCCACTGAAACCACTAAAGGCTCAGACCTACACAAGACTGGAAAAAGGCCTATCATTCACCACATTCCCCCACCAGCATAGCCTTTTTTTCTGTCTAAACTTGCATAGAATTGCTTCTCAGTGTGACGAAGTGAGATTCCATTGGCTTTAGCATGTCCAAATATTACTAAATTTGGATCTGACCCTTAAAAAGTTATTCTGTATTTTGAGTATTCTAAGCGAATGCGATTCTGGTGCAGATGGTGTTTATACAGAGTGTTTATAAGGACAGATTTCTGTACAAATTTACTTGGCAGTAAAGCAAACACTTGTAAGGAAACATCACTGCAGCTTTATCAATATAGTGAGTTGAAGCATTCACCTGGCTGGGGAAGGCACTGCATTTTCTCAGAAGAGTAGTATGCTTGCAGTGAAATGTATGTTGTGAAATAGATGCTTCACGTGTTAAAAGCCAGGA